CAGGTACCCACGATGGTGTGCACAGCACACCCTGCTGCAGGCACCAGGGCACAGCGCGGGCCTAGCCGTCTCCTCCTCTCAGAGAGCCGAGGCTCGACTCTGGTGCCCCTTGTCTGTGACACCCTGGGAAGGAAGACCCCAGAGGTGAGGTGCCCTTCTCGTCACACTAGGGGTCGTGACCGCATGACTCGCCTTGCTGGTGCTGACCCTGAACACCTGGCCGAGGCAGAGTTCCATGTAAAGTCTCTCTCCCTTCCTTCCAGAGCACAGTATGAAAGGGGGAGGTCACCGTGCAGCCCACACTCGGGGGGCAGGGGGCACCTACAGAACCATCTGAACTCTCCTGCACGGGAGGTCTGCCCTGCTGATTCATTCAATCGTTCCTGTCAGGCGGGCTCATGGATACACACTTATACTTGGTATTATTTCCCAATGCTGCCTTAGTTACTTTTTTGCTCAAATTGTTAAAGTTCTGGCCGTTGAGGGTTCGTTTATAGTGGGCGCCTGTCCCTCGTGACACACATGCCCATCCTCATGTGTATTCCTGAACACCTTCCTCCTTCCTGGCGCTGCAGGACGCTGCAGGCCAGCCCTGGAGTCAGCCCTTCCCCCAAGGAGCCCTGCTTCCTCTAGGGGAAAAGGTGTCAAACCAAGCTCCGGGCACTTCCTGCTCCTAGGACCAAGGAGAGAGGTTACCATCGTACACTGTTTGTAGTAATCTCCTTGGGGGACGAGGGCGACCATTTGGAATACACACCACAAATTTCTGGCTTGTTTCTTGAATAAGAGTACGACGTAGTAAGAAGAGATGATATAGGATAGTTATGGCAACGACGAATGTGTTTTGAAAGCCACAAAGCTCTGCGGAAGTGTGAGCTCTTGCGATTTTAATCAGCATACGGTGAGGCCTGGGGCTTCTAGACTTTGGTTCCACAAGTCAGTCTGGCGACACAGAACAGACTGAAGGGAGCTTCGCCGAGAATTTATCTACTATTCCTTTTCATCTTATCTGATGTTTCGTCCTTTTTAAAACTCTGTCAAGTTCTAATGTTATATCTCTACTTTCATACTGCTTTGGGCCAAAAGTCATAAAACTAAGAGTTCCTTTTCTGGAAAGGAGAACAGAAATAAAGCTGTTTAATATTTTAAAAGAACCCCTTGGAACGCTAAGATCTTGGGCTTTAACCTCTCCTTTCCCCACAAAATCCTTTGTGCCAAGGCTGCAGGCGAGCGCACACAGGCTCCATTACCAGAGGCAGAAATGTGAGACTCGGTGGGCACCGTGCTTACGCGGCTGTGGCGAGAATCACCCCATGGGAACGACGGTGACTCAAGTTGACAGCTTTGCCACAGAAGTCTAAAGAGCTTATATGGAAACAGATCACGGAACATTTTACTGCTCCTCAGTGGCCGTCAGGCAGGCCTCACCAGTGTCAACGTGAAAACACACACAGACTTTGGGGATCACTGAGGCCTCAAGGCTCAGGCCACTGACATCTTCACATTCTAAGACCAACTCAGTCTCACGTCAGCCTTCAAAGATCGCCTGAGGAAGACGCAGGCATCGGGAGGAAGGTGGCAGGGAGGAGAACGAGCCTCGTTACCTATGGAAAGGGGGAGATCAGACCTGCTTTAGAGGGATTAAATGAGCAGCAAAGCAGGAAGCACCCGGCAAGTGCAGATTTTTCAATGTGTTGGTTTTTTCCTAGTTATTTAAAGATAAGTAACATCTGAACCTAAAAACTCAACAAGGGCCATTTACTCAAGAATTTCGGATAACGTAAAAGAAAGATAAAGCAGTTTACACTGGAAGATGTAACCTCCTGTGGGGACTTCACCTGTCCTTCTTTAACTGCTGAAATAATACAGCTCCGACCCCCAACAGCTGTATAATCCCCCTCTTCTACCTGCTGTGGGAGAAACAATTCTCGTTCCAGGTGGCTACCAGGTATTACCTCCTTGTTACAAACTCACTGTTTATCTTTCTAGAGACATTCATTTTCTGAAATGGTCTGCAGAAACTGAACTCTGGGTCATGTTCACCACAGCACACCTAAAAACTTTTCTAGTATATGGCAAAATGAATGAAAATGTCATATCATCCTGGTTTATTTTAAGCAAAAACTAAGTTCTCTTATTACTAAGAAATGTGATACTTAAACGAGAAAACACTGTATGGAATGTACACAGAGTTCAACTCACCCCAGAATCCTTGGCAGTTAGAAGAGTTGAATTCAGTCAGGTGTGTTGCCACCCTGTGTTTTAGTGGAGGATTAAAGTAACTGAATATTCTAACATCCTTATATGTGCTATGGATGTGTTTAAAACTAGATAAAGACACAATTTCAACCTGCAGATTAGAAAAGTGTTTTGAAGTCAAATCACGTTTTGCGTCCCTTAGGGAAATCGACTTGGTCGAGGAATTTGCTAAGTACCAGAGCTGGCAACTGCAAATCCAATTCTGTTTTACTGTGCGACGTGACCGCTCCCCTCCTCCCCGCGCCCCCAGGAAGGAAATACTTTCTTAACCACTTTTTGTTTTCTTCCATGGCGTTTAGAGTTTTGAGAGGAAAGAACTATGGGCCCTTGAAGAGAAGTCTGTGTCGCCGCACGTGGATCTTCCCCGAGGCTCCCGGGCGGCGCTCCCTTCAGACCTGAGGCGACTCTGAAACAGGTCAGCGAGCTCAAGGTTCACCTGTGAGGCGTGTATCGTTCAAAGATCAAAGCACGGCCGTGTTTGACTTGAGTAGGTCATACAGAGAGCACCAGCACAACCCACGGTATCCTGACTAAGGAAGGGCTCGGCGTTCGCCTGAAATGTTGTGTCTTAAGTAAGGAGGTTAATAAAGGCGGCGCTTGGTCACAGAGGTACGTAACTGGAAGGTACGGATTCTGTTTCTTTACCTTCTGCTACTTAACATAATTCTTTACATTTACCTAGTAAGTTGTTAGATAAAACAGATGAAGCACCTATCACGACGCTGAGTAATTTCACAGTCACTCCTCCTAGAGCCATCATGCAGGACGCTCCTGCTTTGGGGGTGCAGGCTGGCCGTTCGCACGCAGGAAGAGGGGACGCCACTGCTGATCTTGTCTTACAAACCCAACCCTATGGAGTGACAACTGGCGTAACACCCTCCTGCGCGTGGCCCATTCATCCGCCGTGTAACGATCACGTGAATTAAGGAGGTCCGGCGGAACACTGAGGAAAAGGGTAACCCTTAGAAGCCGAGCAGTTCTATTGCTGGTGTTAGCTGTGGTCTGAATACATTCTCATTTCTAGTTTGAACCACAGGCTTGTTTTTCTCTCGTGGAAAAATATTTTTTCTTCACACAAAAATGTTTCATATGAAGAACAGAATTTCCAGAGAGATGATACAACCATCTTGGAAGCAGAGTAGGAAAATACACCAACCAAAAGACAAACACTGAAAAGGATTTAATATTTTTCTTTTGCTGGAGCCATATGTAAGCTAATATTTATGTGCAGACGGCGTTTAGACCCTGGTGTCAGGAAGGATAAACTAAGCACCGCTGCTGAGAGAGCTTTCCCACCAGAACATCCGCGTGAGAACCAGCCCTGGAGCCTCTTCTGCCCCCACTCACAGCGGGCTGTCCACGCAGCACCACAAACTACCAGCCCAAAGGGCGCCATGTAGACCATCACGAGCCAAGTAATTTCACTGTTACCGAGTCCACAAGGGGCCCGCGGCCGGCAGTCCTACCCAGGGAGCTGCTCAGAGCTCCGGCCCTGTGGTCGGGAGTCCCAGGCTCCAATCCTGGTGGGGCTCCTCCGTCTCTGCTGCACCACAGGGCCGGGGCCTGAGCTGTTCCACCATCGGTAAGAAGGTACTGAACACCCCACCTGAGAGGGCTGCTGGAAGATTTCATTAATCAGGACACGAAACCCATTTAAAACAGTGACTGGACGTAGCAGAATTCAACAAGGGCCGGCAGGATCAGCCAGAAAAGGGGGGGGCGTCACAAGCCTCCTCGTCGAGAGGGTGACCCGAGGCGCAACCACAGATGGGAGACCGGGCATCACCCCCAAAGCACAGCAGGGCTGGGCCGCAGGAAGCTGCCGGCAGACCCGCTCTGCGCACCGGCGCAGCAGGGGGCAGACCGAGCCTGGACGAACACATCCTCCCAGAAAAGCTGACGGAATCGAGGGCCCAGCGGGATTTTGTCACCTCCAGTGCCTGGCACGTGAGCAGCTCTCGGCCACTGGGCTGGATGAATGAGCAGCTACAGCCCTGCCCGAGGGGACAGCAGGTGCAACAGATGTGCGCAAGGGACGTCCCCTCAACCCATCACGAGCAGGACTGCTCCGTTGCCACTAGGAAGACAGCATCCCCCTAAGGCTGGGAGTCATCCCCTAAATGCACTTTCATCAGGTAGTCAGAGGGACCGGCTGCACGGAAATGCCGGCATCCCGAGAGCACCCAAGATCACCCACGTTTCCTTGAAATACTTGTGAGAACATTCTAAGGAACGTCATGACGGTCACTTCATTCACAATTAAATTCTCAGTGGAGATACTTAAAAAACACATAGGAAAACAAGCATCTGAGATGTCTTAAGACTGAATTTGGTTCTAGTTTTTTGAGTAAAAAAATCCACCCTGATGCCTTGGAATTTCTAACAGATGTATTGCTAGGCTTTCATAAGGGAATAAGAAATGAGTATTAAAATCTGAAAGCAAATTTTCTGAGGATTCACAATAACTTAACAGTTTCCTATTAGAGTGTTAGTAACATTTTGAGAGTTAAAGCCTGAAATTTTTTCTCAACCTAAATAAATCACACTAACTTATTTGGGACACCATGAAACAGATGCTCAGAACAAAGTGCACAGCTGAAGCATCATGTCTTTAAAAGAAAAAACAAATAGACAAAATTGGAAACATCTTTCATTACAGATGACACGAAACAAAACCCAAAGTGCTTATGTTAACACACAAACCTTAAAAAAAAAAAAAAAGCGCGTCTCAGTGGGCTTACCTTGCACCATGAGCAGGGGCTCCTTGCCCCCGCCGTGCGCCAGCATCTCCCGGCGGTAGCGCTCCCCCGCCGCCCTGGGGAGAAGAGGACTGTCACTGGAGCCTGCACGCACCCACCCACACCCGCCTGAGTCCCCCAAGTGAAGCCACACTGATGTCAGATTCAGAAAAGCTGCCATGCATTATCTTCTGGCTTCTAAAAATCTCATTCCGATTTTTAACGTACTCTACAAAGACAGACCAGTGGTGATATAGTTACTGTAAGAGCAAGCCTGCTCTTTCTAGAAAGGGTTGTTTAGTTTATGTGGTACAGAACAAGTAGAAAATCGTACCCCATTCTCCATCATCTATAGGATTATTCTAAAGTGAGATTTGAAATCATTTATGCTCTCCTCTCAAAAAAGAATTTGAAATGGTACCCAACAGAGAGAAAATAACAACTGTGACCTAAGAGTAAAGTCAGAAAAGCTGTCAGGAGAGGGTTCATTACAGCAGGAAGCCCTGGCTAAGGATAACAGAGAACACTTGCGGTCCGTGCTGCTCTTCACCAGCTGGATTCAATAAGGAACAGTGTCCCTGACACTCGAAGGGGGGCAGACAGAAATCCTCTAAATTAATGGTTACTCTCTTTTTAAATAGAAAATGCAATTCCTTTAATGCAAATAACTGCAGTTAAATAAAGTACGTTTTCACTCCACTATTTCTGGAGGATCTTTCCATGGGCAATTTTGCGAATATGGTCTCTAATCGGAAATGCTGCCAGCACTTCACTCTCAGCAGCAGGATGACATCGAACGCTTGTCTTGGCTCCGCCCTGAAGGGAGCACTGAGGCCCCGAGGCCCCGAGGCAGGGGGCGTGGACAGGGCAGCTGAGAGGCCCCGCCTGGCCTCGGCTTTGCTGCTTCCAACCAGGAGACTTCTCAGAACTGGGATCAAAAAGGATCTTTTGGTAGAGGTTAGAAATTTTCTAGTCCACTGAGTACTTTTACTAGCTTACTTTTTTACATGCCCGTAAAAGTATAGCAACTGCATGTCTAGGCGAGAATGCATACATAAACAGATATAAATACTGGGGAATACATGTATTTAAAAGCATGTGGTTTTCTAGTAAAGTGTGATTCCTTTAAACAAGATAGTATTTTGCCGATTTTATAGAAATCTTCAGTGAAGAATTATAATGCCCAGAATTGATTTATGGTACTCAATTTTGGCTTCAGAGCCTTTGAAGATAATAAAATTTTAAAAAGTAGACCAAATGTCTACAGTGTGCAGAGGGCTGAAGTCACAATAGCATGTGGGTACCAAGCTGTAAAATGTTTAAAAATTCTATTACATCAGACTCGAGTTCAAAAGATCCTGGAACTGAAGGCGATGATGAACTGCCGAGAAAACCCGAGCCTTGGCCAACGACATGAAGAGCTACAGGGTCGGGCGGGGGGCGAGGGCCTGGGAATCAGCAGACCTGGTTCCCATCTGAGTCCAGCTGGTCCGCTGTGAAGCCCTGAACGCATCACCTCCTCTGAGCCTCGGTTCCTCTTATGAAACTCCGGCTCCGCCAGGGCTGCTGGGACTAACGTGATAACCTGCGTGGGAAACGTGAGGGCGCTCCCGGCATCTAAGGGGCCATGGGCCTCAACCTGCGCAGTGAGGCCTCCTGACCGTGCGACCTGTGTGGTGCAGGCAGACCGCTCTGAACGACTGTGAGACCAGGTCTCAGTAGTGCTTTGCTTTCCAAGGAAGCTCCTTCTAAGGACCCGTGGAACCAGAAGCTGGCTTCCCCGGGCTCCTGCTGGGGAGGGCCCCCGGCACGCAGCAGCCCCAGTGTCCTGCGGGGACGCAGCAGGCCATGAAACCCCCGTCTCTTTACCTGTTGAACGGATCCCGGAGAAAGCACTCCCTCCAGACCATGGACGCCACTGCCCTGGACACCAGGTAGGAGTAGTATTTGGCACCGTAGCCCACGAGGTGGCTGAAGCGCAGCTGCCAGGCCTGCCGGACAGAAAGGACACAGGAGGCGGTGAGGCCACATCCAGACGCCGTGTGGGCCCAGCGCAGGGAGGCACACAGGAACCTGCAGACGTGCCCGTGACATGGCACCCCAGGGGGCCGGCCTCACGGTGGTCACTTTCCACGTGGCGCACGCTGTGAGGACGGCAGTGAGTCCCCTCAAAACCCGCATGCCGAGCCCCAACCCCCAGGACCTCGGAGTGAGGCTGTTTGTGGAGACGGGCCTCTAGAGGTGACGGAGGTAAAACGAGGCTGCCGGGGCGGCCCCAGGCCGCCAGGGCTGGATATAGGTCCTTGTGCGACGGGGGAGACCACGCCAGGACGGGGCAGTAAGGCGGGCCTCAGCAGAACCAACCCTGACACCGGACTGTTCTGTACAGGTTCACTGCCCCGGACTCGTGTCTGGCAGAAACAGAGGGAGGATGCCCAGACACGCAGCGTAGCGTCAGCAACAGGGCAGCACGCGTGTCCCATGATTCCGGCCTGCTGGGAAGCCTGGCCACTGGGTCGGGAGAGGGCGCTCTGGCCTGGCACCGGGTGCCGTTCTTTTTGAGGACAGTGACGTTGTTACTGTAAAAAAGGCCACGTGAGTTCCCAGGGAAGAATACCCTTCCATTGGAAAACTCTTTTCCTGCAAATACTGTTCTTTTTCTGGACCTACAAGCTGAAAACAAGTAGGTTCTGGGTGGTTAGTAGGAAGAGGGTTATTATCCAAGTGCAAAGGCATAAGCTGCCCACAGCACAGTCATGACACCACTGCTACAAAAGCCAGAATTACAGAAGCCATCCTCAAATGACACAGTTGTGACTTAAACATTTTTACTTTACTGAAACAAATCTGACATGCAGCAATACTCTGCTCTGTTTTCATGTGTGCTTTAGCTGACGGTAAAATTGTTAGGAAAAAAAATCGAAGCCTAAGTTTTTAAACTAAGGTAAATTATCTAATAAATCTTTTCACCTCCTGGAAAATTATAAAGTTTAATCATCACCACAAATGTTTAACTAGATAAACAATTTCCACCTAACTGATCAAGCCACAAACTACAAGCGAACAGACAGTTCCCTGCTGACGGCGGGGCGGCGGATCCGAGGACACCTCAGAGTCCCCCACGTGGCACACAGGGGCCCGGCGCTCTGAGTGGCGTCCAGCACCTCACGACGGGCGCTCGGCCTGGGCTGGGTGTAGGGCAGGCCGGCCAGCTCTCAAGCTAGAGCTGGAACAGGAGGAGGTCTGGCGGAGGGAACGGGAACCCTCGGGATCCACCCTCCCCTTCCAACCGGGAAGCGACTGGAAGCAAGGGGGGGCTCGCGAGCTGTGTCCCTCCGTCTGTGTGGGACACCTCGCCCGGCCCTCTGTGAAGGCGAGACCCCGGGGGGGGGCACCACAACCCAGGGCGGTGGTCCCCGACTCCACACGGCCACCACTGGTGCTGGACGGTACACTCGCAAGGCTGTCACAGTAACCAGACCCCCAGGCACAGGTGCCGAAGCCCGGCAGCTCGCCCGGCAGGATCCACACCTGGATACCTGGACACAGAGTCCACGGCGTCTGCCTCCCACCTGGACAGAGCTACTCAGGCATGGCGCACACCTTGCTGTCTTGTTCTTAAATTACAGGTTTCCATACCTCAAGACACGCTAAGTAAGTTATACCACCGGACACCTTTCACCAGCGTAAGCTTACGGCACGCTAAGACCTACAATCCCATTGCTGTCTGACCACAAACAGCTGGACTCCTGATAATTCAGCCTAATGTTAAGTCCTTGTTACCACTTCACTCATTCACCTGGAAAAATAAAAGCATCTCATTTTAAGCCCTGGAATTATGCTGTCCTCTTCCTTTTATCTCCGAGTTTCCTTCTTCCGAAAGGGACCTTTGCCAGATGAACGGAAGTTTTCACCCATCCTCTGAAGCGCAAGGTGAGGATCTGGTCTTCAGAACAAAGGACTCAGAAGCCTTTGCACTTTCTCTTTTGTTCTGACTAGAGGTGGGAACCGTCCCATCCTCACACGAGCCCTCCATCCGTCTGTCCTGAGTTACACAACCTCAGCAATCCGCACTTCAGACAAAACCTTGGAGCGGGAGTGGCAGCGCGGCGGGGGCCCCGTGAGCACAGCCGCCAGCTGGAGCCCTGGGCAGGAGGCCCTCCGGGGATCCCTACCTGCTACAGCCCCCTTCTTACCCATGACATTCGTCTGTCCAAATCAGAGACGGGCCCAGGAATGGAAAGGAGCAAAGCAGCCAGTTACTTACACCTGGTTTCAGTTTCAGGCCTAGATGAGGGACTCGTGCAGAGCCAGCACCAATAACTACATGTCAGAAGTTGAGTGACCAAGCTAATCGTTGCTATTATCCTCTCAAACAGCACATCATTTCTCCACTTCCAGTTACACATGTATAAGTGCATTTAACTAAAATTTTAAAACAATCTTACTACTAGAATATTAAACCACCACATGAGAACAGAAACGACATCACTGCTTTCTTGGTTTGGGTCACACAGAACTGAAACTTCCTTAAGAGCAAGGTCCACGAGGCTGGGCCTGTGTCCAGATTCAGCACGGGGCCTGGGGCACAGCAGGAACTCAGCAGCTGTGCTGGATGGGTGGGCAGACAGGTGGACAGACGGATGGACACTACAGGATTCTGTCCCAGGGATGCTCCGTGTTCCCGACAGACTGGACTTTGGACTGAGATGAGGAGTAACATCCAGACCACGAGCACGAGGACATCACAGCGCTACAAACGCATTCTGGATCTCAGGCTGTTGTTATTATTATTTTTTAAAGAATTCTTTGACTACATCATATGACAGTTAAGACTTCTGAGGCTAGTTTTGGCACCAAATGTGCGGCATCTGTGTGGTGTTTCCTCACGTGTGATTCAGTCTCCGTCAAGCTTCACAGACTCTGAACAAGCCACGGGCCAGCAGTACCACACAGGCTGCACGGTGCAGCTGCTGTAACAGGACTAAAGGACAGCAGGCTCCTGAGCTAGGCCAGGCTCTGTGCGCGGACCGCCGGGCTTTTCACATTCCCTGAGTACAGTGCTGCTGGCTTGTGGATTATGTCCTATGACACCCAACCCTGGGCACTTAACCACAGCAGTGAGTGGGAGACCCCCCCCCCCCCCGCCCCGGCCTTCTCAGGTTCGTGTTCTCTCTTTCTTAATGTTTTCCATGAAGTAACACAGGCTAGTACTCCTAATTTAATAAAAAGTCCCCACTGACATTTTACCAAAACCCATGAAACAACAATGCCAAACAAACAGGAATTCTCAGTTTGGAATAAAACTGAGAATTTATTTTAGATGAAACACAGCCGTTGTGGTGGGCACACTCTCAGGCGGCCTCCGTGGATGCCGGTGTGAAATCTCCTCACCGTGAGTGTGGGCAGGACCAGAGCCTTGCTTCTGACCCCAGAACGGGCAAAGGAGGCGGGATGTCACAGCCACAGCGAGTTACTCACTTGAGATGTCTGCCAGGCTGCAGACCCGCTGCAGAAACCCTCCTGTTGCCCGAGGTCAGCGGCCCTGGTGGGAAAGCCCACCAGCAGGGACCCTGTGGGATCTGGGGGTGGCCTCTGGGGCCCAGGGGTGTCCAACAGCTGACAGGCAGCAAGAAGCTGGGTACCTCCATCCTACAAGTGCACAGATAAGAATTCTGCCGAGCGACTTCCCTGGTGGCGCAGTGGTTAAGAATCCACCTGCCGATGCAGGGGACATGGGTTCGAGCCCTGGTCCGGGAGGATCCCACATGCCGCAGAGCAAGTAAGCCCGTGTGCCACAACTACTGAGCCTGCGCTCTAGAGCCCGCGTGCCACAACTACTGAAGCCCACGTGCCTAGAGCCTGTGCAGTGCAGCAAACAGTAGCCCTGCTTGCCGCAACTAGAGGAAGCCCGCACGCAGCAACGAAGACCCAACGCAGCCAAAGATAAATAATTCAAATAAATAAACAATTTAAAAAAAAAAAGAATTCTGCCGAGAACCCAGGTGAAGCAGCCAAGCCCCCAGGTGAGCCATGGGCCCGGCCAACTCCCCGACTGCAGCCTTGTGGGGGCCCAAGCACGGGCCGCGGCCTCCTGACCCGCGGGGGCCGTGAGCTGTGTACTGCTGTAGCCACTAGGCGCACGGCAATTTGTCCCACGGCGATAGAAACTAACACCGTTATCTATTTCAGCACGAGAGCTGTGTCCAAAAATACTAACAAAAAAGTAAATGGAAAATATGGAAGGGCACCTATATTTATTAAATGTATAACCCTGTGTCTTCATGGATATCTTTTGAGGAAGGTACTCCTACAAATGCTTCATAATTTTCAGTAAATATTTTAACAGCTTACACTTTACAACAGACTCAAAAGTGTAATTTGGTCAAGGCTGCCGGCAGAGACTGCCCAGTACCCCTCGTCCGTTCAGAAACAGAACTGCCCCTCTGCCGCTCAGCTGGAGCAAGGCCTGTGGCCACTGTTCTCCAGGCCTCCTCTGGGCTCAGGGTGGCTGTGCCCCTACTTCCTGCAACCCGATGTGAATGGAGATAACGTACTTGCCAGGTGCTTCAAAACAAAGCTGCTCACACCCTCGACCTCCTTCCCCTTCCTGCTACGCCTTAAAGAAGTGAGAACCAGACCCACACCTGCGGAGGAGCCGCCAGCCCACCGGCCCCACCTGCTCAGCTCTGCCTTGCTGGGCAGGAGGAGAGGAGCTTCATCCTACTTACATCACTGTATTTGGGGGTCTCTGTCACAGCAACTTAGCCTGCACACCAACAGACGATCACACAGGATTCAGACCGGCTTTCTTTTTTTTTTTTTTTTAGCAGCACACGGGCCTCTCACTGCTGTGGCCTCTCCCGTTGCGGAGCACAGGCTCCGGATGCGCAGGCTCAGCGGCCATGGCTCACGGGCCCAGCCGCTCCGCGGCATGTGGGATCTTCCCGGACCGGGGCACAAACCCATGTCCCCTGCATCGGCAGGCGGA